TAGTTATTTTTAATCGTAAAAAAATATCTACTATAATAATTATAAATTTTATGTTAAATACTTTATGATGTTTAATCTACAAATGAAAGTGCAAAAATTGAGTTATTTTAGGCCGCTGTAGGATTACCACATATGGTATAATAATAAAGATATATGAAAACACAATTATGTTAACTTCTTCTTTCTATATTAGTTTTAAAAAAATGTAGGTAACATTCATATAACCACACCTCGACCTTAAGACAACATTCATGTTACCATACCTCGACCTAAAGACAACAAATCATGTTGAGCAATGAGAAGATACAAGAAAGTACAACAAGATGATTTTTTTAAGGAAGATACATTTTAAAAAAATCAGTTAGAAGCAGAAAGTTGAGCTATGTTAAATCCTACAAGACATTGCTTTAATGCAACGCTTCGTAAGATTTGCAAAATAATAATTCTACAGTTTGATGGCCAATGAAACAGCGGATTTGTGTGCGAAAAAAAAAAGTTTTCACCTGCATTCGGGGTTTAAATAAAAAATTCAAAATTGGGGAGCTTTTTACAGGATTTTACCAAATCGAAAACATAAAGGGGACGACTTTGTTTAACTGTTTGATGGCCGTTTGTGTCAGTTTGTCCTTTTAATACAGAATTGTCGGGGTTAATATTTTGACGGATAGTCTAGGTCTGGAAGTGTCCATGGATTTCAGACTTTATTGAGGAAGAAGAAGAGTAGGCAATTTACGTCCACTGCCGCACTCATAATATCAACTTGGTAGCTCAAGATTCTGTTGAAAATCAAACAGAGATCAGGAATATAATGAATATATTTTAATCATCCATTGCATTTACACGTGGATCTCCAAAATGCTTGACATGTTTCGATAAATTTTGAATCGTAGAAGATGTAAAAAGTGGATTATCACAGCGGTCATTCATTTCTTCTCAAAGGATCTTATGAAAACCGTCCATTATATGTGTTACCAAAAACTATTGATCCATCATCAGCTGGTTAGAGAATTTTAAAGATCATTTTGATAATTTAGCCAAGAATAAGTCAGAAGCAAAGAGTTATCTGGAACCTTTTTGTAATTTTGACACATTTTTCGTAAGTTTAACGCAATTTTTAAATTAAAAGTTTTGCGCATGATCTTACAATAATTGAAGTTGCTATTACAGCACTCCAAGGTTTTTTTTAATAGTACTTTTTAAAAATATTTCAAGCAAATTACAATAATAAACTTTTGTTTAAAAGTATTTTGGGCATGCAGCTCAATTTTTAAATATATATGGATTGCGGATTTGCGACCTAAATTGAACCGACAAAGACCTCTGAGCATTTAGCAAATGTCGAAAAATTTATTATTGATTAGTGTTAAAAAAACGTTAATATCCGTTTTAATAAGTTTTTAAACGTTTTAAAAACGTCCTGTGCTAACTGGGAAATAATGCCTGTTTCAGTTAACAATTAGTTTTCAAAGTCAAACATCGTTTATCTCAACAAAAATGCTAACTGAAATTTCCAAAAATGTTTATTCGTGTTTAACATTTATTAATAAAGTCATTTGCAATCTCAAACGAATCAATTTTGTCCACTGCTTCTACGCGAGTATGAAGAACTAGCAAGTGGTTTAGGCGGGAAACTGTTGTTTACAATCAAAGGTAGGTTTTAACTCTTTTTAAAGCAGAGAAGGATCTTTAACTAAGAGCATTAGTAGCTGGCATCATAAGAATTAGCTTGGCAATCTTTCCAACTTTGGTAAGTAAAGTTCTTTTAGTGTGATCCAAACTCTTGAAAAACAAGATGAGATCTTTGATAGTGAATTTTTTGATGTTGTAACCTAAAGATGTTGCAATGATTGATGATTGGTAGAAAGGCAATTTGTGTTTTAGCTTAAAGTTGGTTAATGTCTTGACAGTAAAAGTGACAAACTAATTGCAGATGGTTTTCCCAACTTTTACTTTTTATTGAGTTGAGAGGAATTTCCTGAAGATCAGTATATGCTTTATAATTAGGTTGATCAAACCTCTGTTTTGTAAAACTGATAATAAGACAAAAAGCATCAAAATACAATTGGCGATAATGTTATTTGAGTGAAACATGGAAATGTTTTTGTGGGTTAAGAGTTGTTTTTAAATAATCTGGGATTTTTCTTTTTCTTGATAGTTTTAGGGTCAGCACCTACAAGCTGGGTTTTCCATTTCATAGCACATTCCCAAAGCAGTTCGTAAATTTTGCTGCTTCGGGATTTTAAAAAATATAAATATAAAATTTCTTTAATTAAAACCACAAAATGATTAGTTAAAAAGCAATCATCTTTCACATTAGCTTTTATTTTATTAGACACTTTCGGGATTTCAAATATTAACTTTACAAAAAAAAAAATCTGCACGCGTTACAAACTCATTGTTCTTGATGAAAAGTTATTTTTGCAGATCGTGTGAAAATTAATTTTTTCTTAATAACGTAAGCTACTATGGTATTAGTCCGATTGTTACAGAATATCATTACGTTCCGCGTGTTAAAGCCGTTTTCCACAATGACAAAACGTAGTTTTGATTTCCATTTACTTTCTTTTGCGCTACTTTTTTTCGTTGTCCACAATAAAAATGGCAGCAATAAATTTACGCTATATGCTTAACTAAAAGCAATTATTATTTTTTTAAAATACTTTCTACTTTGAAGCAAGTGGAAGTTTTCTTTCCGTGCATTAATTTTAATACTGCTGTCTTAGTATGTAAGATGTAATATATATATATATATATATATATATATATATATATATATATATATATATATATATATATATATATATATATATATATATATATATATATATAGTCTTGGAAAAAAGTTTAAGACCACTTGCGAAAAACTGAAAATTTAATGAAAAAATTATAACAGTACAAAAAATAATTGGGAAATTATTTTTTGATTATTTAATAATATTTGGGAAATTGTGTTAACTAGCTATGGTTGCCAAATAAAAATTTATACACGCTCAATTTTATTTTAGGCACCAAAGTATAGCATTTATACGTGGTGGTCTTAAACTTTTTTCCCAGACTGTATATATATATATGTATATATATATATATATATAAATATATATATATATATATATATATATATATATATATATATATATATATATATATATATATATATATTATATATATATATATATATATATATTTTTTTTTTTTTGCACCCCACTGTATATATATATATATATATATATATATATATATATATATATATATATATATATATATATATATATATATATATATATATATATATATATATATATATATATATATATATATATATATATATATATATATACATTTGCCAAATATAATTAATTCAATCTGTAAAATACTTGCTGATGATACTAAACTGCTTGCCCCAATTCGATTTAATGAAGAGCAGAATGATTGTACTGTGCTTCAAAATGATATTGACGCTATAACGGAGTGGACAAAAACATGGCATATGAGGCTAAACATCTCCAAATGCAAAATTCTTCACATTGGTCGCCTGAACAAACACCATATCTATACAATGCTCAATGTCGATAAGTTGATTCGACTTAATTTGGAATCTTGCTCATCAGAACGTGACTTAGGCATCATAATTAGCAATAACCTCAAACAAAACGCCCAGGTTTGCACTGCTTTTTCTAAAGCAAACAAGATGCTTGAGATGCTTAAAAAGACATTTGTTTCCCGTAATGTCGAACTTTGGAAAAAATTATACATAGTGTACGTGCGTCCTCATCTTGAATTCTCTGCTTCAAGTTGGAACCCATATGCGATTAGGGATATATATGTATTGGAGAGAGTCCAGAGACGCGCTACTAAGATAGCCCACAATATAAAGCATCTATCTTATGAAAATAGATTAGGCATTTTAGTCTTGACCACTCTTGAAGAAAGACGTCACCGTGGTAACTTAATTCAACTTTTTAAAATAGAATCTGGAAAAGAAATAGTTAACTGACACCACACCCCGATCCGATCTGCGCCACGCCATGGACATAGAAGTCGACTGATCAAGGAGATAGTTAGAAATAATAACAATAGAAGCAACTTTTTTACAAACCGAGTTGTTAACAGCTGGAATAGCCTACCGGACGAGATTGCTGGAACTCTAAACGAATTCAAAAACCAGTTGGACAGGCTCCAACAAAACCGCCACTGTGCCATAAAGGCGCTCTATGCAACACGATAAAGTTCCATTGCGGTCATCATACTAACTAACTAACTAACTATATATCTCAGTAAGCACAAGACATTTTTAAAACGTTTAAAAAACTAATAAAAAAGAATATTAACGTTTTTTAAACGTTTTAAAAAGAATCTGTGCATACTGGGATTATATATATATATATATATATATATATATATATATATATATATATATATATATATATATATATATATATATATATATATAAATATATATATATATATATATATATATTTATATATATATATATATATATATATATATATATATATTTATATATATATATATATATATATATATATAAATATATATATATATATATATATATATATATATATATATATATATATATATATATATATATATATATATATATCTTTAGCGTTGACATCGTTTATATATGTTATATTAGTCAGAAAACATCAATTAATACGAATTCTTTATATATAATTGTTTCATATTTTATATATTTATATATATAATTGTTTCATATTATATATATATATAATTGTTTCATATTTTTATATGATATATTTATATATATATATATATATTTTTATATGATATAATTATATATATATATATATATATATATATATAATTGTTTCATATTTTATATATTATATTTCATATTTCATATATATATATATATATATATATATATATATATATATATATATATATATATATATATATATATATATATATATATATATATATATATATCTTTAGTGTTGACATCGTATATATATATGTTATATTAGTCAGAAAACATCAATTAATACGAATTCTTTATATATAATTGTTTCATATTTTCAAAAAAACGAGGTTCAAGTTTCATTTGATGTAATAAACTTGTATCCATCAATACTACTAAAGGAAGCCACTTTAGTTCTTATAGACCAATTAAAAAAAGATGATTCCTACAAATATTCTACCAAACTTACTATATCTGAAACAAGACAACTCATAGAGCTTTGTTTACACCGTTGTTATTTCCTTTGGAATAACGAAATCCATGAACTTAAGAATTCTGATCCTATAGGTCTTTTATTTATGGTCGTACTTGCAGAATCATTTTAATAACATCATTAACAAAAAGCTATCAAAATTGCAATAGCATTAAATCCTTCTCTTGACCTAAAATCCTATCTAAGATATGTCGAAGATAGTCACGCTAGATTTTCCAACACTCAAGAAGCAGAACAATTCCTAACTATCTTAAACAAACAACACCCTGCAATACAATATACAATCGAAACTGAAAGCAAAAATAGAACTCTAAACTTCCTCGATTTAACCATAATAAATAACAACAAAGAAAAATACGAGTTTAAAGTTTACAGAAAGGAAGCCATTACTAATATCCAAATTAAACATCACTACAATCATGACCCTAAAATTCTAAACGCAATATTTAAAGGTTACGTTCGCAGAGCTTATTCTTTATGCAGTAATTTATATTTACAAGATGAGATTAATTTCTTTATTCAAATGTTTAACAAAAATGGGTACAACTTATGCCAACTTAAACGAATTGCAAAATTATTTGGAAATAAACGGTCGCTAAAAATCAATAAAATTCAATCAGACTCTCTTAACATCCCTACTTTATCGTTGCCGAGGATACCATCACTATCCCCAAAACTAAGGAAAATATTTCGGAAAGCTGGCTATAGAGTAGTTTTCAAATCAGCCGTGGCGCAGTGGTAGCGCACTTGCCTCAGAAACAAAAGAAACATAAAAATGCTTGAAGTTAATTATATGGTAAATGTTCATTAAGTATTAAAAAACGTTTTTTTATGATAAATGTTCTATTGAATTTTAGTTCTGTTAAGTTGTTTTTGTCTTTTTGTTGTTGTTTTTTCTTTAGAATTATTAGAATATGTAAATAATGTAATATAAATATTGTTTATAAATTCTTTTATATTTACTTTATTATTTTATTTAAATTACTACATTATAAGCTAACAGGTTTGACTGGCAATATAAATAATGTTGTTCATCGTTTATATTGTTTGTAACATCGTCAGTTTTTATATGCATTTAATATTTTTTTAAATAGTTCAAAAGCTGTCAAAATAAAATGGTGAATTGAGTTTAAATTAACTAGAAAAGATATAAACGTTATCTTTGGTATTCAACTTGTAAGAATGCTCCAAGAACCACTTAGTTGGAGAAGGAAAACTGTGGTAATGTTTTAAAAATATCAGAAAGGGAAGTTAATTAATGCACAAGATTTTACTTCATAGTTAAATATAAGTATATAAAAGCAATGTTTATAAATAATACACTATTATTTATTATAATACAATTATTTTTATTTGTTTATATTTAACTAATGTAAAGTGCTCGTCTTTAGTTAAAATAAGTTAATTTATGCACACATGATATTTATTATGCTTTTACATTACTATACTTTATAAATTACATATTTATTATATTTGTTATGCTTTAAATAGTAAAGTAAAAGTATAATAAATTTTTTAATTTAATGGTGTGTGTATAAGTTCTTTTATTTTAACTTTATCCTTTTATTTAAATTACTGCATTATAAGCAGGTAAGTTTGACTGACAATATAAATAATGTTGTACATCATGCAGACAGCTCAGACAAAGAAGTAAGTTTTTACTTAAAATTACAACTTATAAGATATACTATATTTGTTGCTGCCTTGTTCTATATAAATTTTAGTAACATGCAGGTAAAATTTGTATATGCAGACCTTCTCAGGAGACACGTGCGGTCGCACGCCTTGAATGACCGGAACGCACTCTTGTCAAACCCCTATTCCGACGTTGAGCGTCCTTTGCGTCCGCGAACTCGTGTTTCTGGGAAAAGGAAAAAACGGGGTATACAGGGATTTGCGCAGCGGTGCGCACATACACCAACTAATTTTTAGAGAGAACATGCAGCGGAGTGTGTAAACAACGACTGAGGGTTTGGGGTGGGTAGGTTCTCTTTTAAATGAAGAAGTCGTTTTTTTACATTTTCGGACCTTAAGGACAGCGTCGGAATAAGGGTTTGACAAGAGAGCCTACCTGAATGACCACACATATATATTTTTTTGTTGATAACTTGGCCACGATTTTTTTGCATATATTAAAAATGACGCATTTTAAAAACGCCAAACTAATTTGTCATCTTATTGTTTTTTTTTTAATATTAATAATTTATCATTATAACTATTTATGAGAAAATAAAAACCTAACAATAATACACATTTATATTTTTTATTAATGACAAAATAAAAAGATAAAAATAATATATAAATATATATATATATCTTTCTTTTTTTTTTTAATTTGACATTTAATAAAATTCTGGCGCTTTTTCTTTAAATTTTTATTTCCAAAATGAATTACGTCATTAATAATTATTATTTCTTCCCGTTGGTTTGACAAGGTTTTAAGGTGAGTTTCCACTCATCCTTTTTTCTACGGGAACGGGATAGGAAAAGGAAAAATAATCACGTGAGCATGCATAGTTTTACTTCGGACAAATTAAAACTTATAAAACGCATGCCCACGTGATTATTTTTCCTTTTCCTTTCCCGTTCCCGTAAAAAAACGGATAAGTGGAAATTCACCTTTAACTTATACTTTTTATATAAGGAGAATTAAAAAAACTTTTTTTTTTTTTATGTGCATTAAAATCATTTATTTTATTGTTTTTTTTTATCTGTTTATGTATTATTATTTTGGTTGACATATAGATGTAAATAAAAGATTTAAATGTGAATACTTTGCAGCATTTTAAAAATTCAACCTTATAAAAATAAAGTAATACGCATAAACGTAAAAAGTGTAAGTAAAAACTTCGACTACCAATGACTCAATTAAGTAATAATAATGCTCTTGGTCTCGCGAAAAAACTGCTTTCGGTTTGATAACTTTTATGAATGTTATAAAATATCACTCAGGAAGGATGGCACCAGTTTTTAAAAAATTTCTTTGTTAATTATTTTTAATGAATGTTTTCAATACTTTTGCAATTCTTTTGTTACATAACTCTTAATAATAAATAAATAAAATTCGCTAGATAATATAAGTGATGTAACTTAAGTAAAATATACAGTATCAAAAAAAACAAGTTTATTTTTCTTAGCCGATCAACTCTGATTTTTTAACAAAATTTTTAAATTGGTAATGAATTCTCAGCATTTTGTGAAAGTTTCTTATTCAAACTACTTTACTAATTCACAGAAATCAGACCTAAAACCAGTTTGATATGATATCAAACTGGTGCATTTTAAGAATTAACTTTTTTTATTATATATAGATTTGCATATTTATTTACGCTATTTTGAAATTTTTTATGTTGGCATTTTTAAAAGCTGTTTTACTCAGCAGATAAAGGGTTTTTAAGACACCGGCCAGAATATCTAAATAACTAAAAGTGGTGTTAAGCTAAAATTTTAATTATAAATTTGTTTGATTGTCTTCTGTGATTTAAGCGTGACAGATTTTTTTAAAAATTGAATCCAGTCCAACAAAGCCATAAAATTCGGTCAAATTTTTTACATGTACTTCGGTCGAATATATTAGCCTATTAAAAATTATTATGAAAAATCTGCTTCGTTCATATCACAGAATTACTTATTACAACAAGTATGCAAAATTAATTAATTTTTAGAACAAGTATGCAAAAAAGATTTTGATAAAACTGTGTACATCTTTAGATACGTTATCCGGGGTCTTTCAATATTTTGGTGTTTTTGGCACCTGCTACAGCTACCATTTTGCCCCAAAAAAATTTTTTTGTTTTTTTCAGTTAATTTTGTTATTTATTTTATGTATATAGAGTTAAACTTATAAAATATTGATATTTACTCAAAAAAAAATTTTCAGGGGTTTAATGTACTTTTTTATTGAGATAAAAAAAATACCGAATTTGAAATTCATTCTGTAACGATAGTTACCAGTGCAAAAACTAGTAACTATCGTTACAGAACGAATTTCAAATTCGGTATATTTTCACGTATATAAAAAAGTATATTAAACCGAATACATACTAAATATTTAAACCAGAGCGTTCTCTACAACAGGCCTATTAATCGCGCAACCGGATTTTTTTGTGGAGGCCTAATTTTTTACGGCAAAAAAGATAATAACTTTGTAATTTTAAAACTAAAAAAAAGTTTTAATTCTCTGTATATAATATTTTTTGATGAAAAAAGAAAATTAATCTTAAGTAATAAACAATGTAAATAAAAGGCAAAGAAATTTTTTCTAATTTCAAATTTCACACATTTACCGGTTTTTACATTCGTTTAAAATAATTATAACAACCATTTAAAACAATCATGACATTCATTTAAAACACCGCGACAATCAATTAAAACAATGTGATTTTCAATTAAAACAATCCTGATTTTCAATTAAAACATTTAACGCATGCGCAATCTCAACATTCTATATTATTTTAAAAAAAAGGTTTTCTTTATACTTTTTTAATTCGATTTTTTAAAAAAATTTAAAATTTTATTTTATTTAAAATATAAAGCCGTGATTTTAAGAGAAAACGAAATACAAAATTTTATCAAACATTGTTTATGAATATGTATTATAATGAAGATTAAGGTGGTTGCCCAAGAAATAAATCTTGATTTTTTTTGAATTTTTTTTTTTTTTTTTTTAATGTTTTTTATGAGCAGAATTTTATCCTCTTTAAAATGGTATATGAATCTCATATGTATAATTTATATAAAGTCTTTTATTTCTAATTTTTGTATAGTGGTATATAAAGTTTTTTCTTCACATTTTTGTTTTTGACATTTTTCTTCATTTGTGACTTCAATTGAAGTGTCAAATATCTTGGGTTTACCTCTTCAAATAATCATCAACTGCGTATCAAAGTAATGTCGTTTGGTGTATCTTAGGTTTTATGGATTTTAATAAACTAAAAGTCATTATTTGAATGGATATTTTTCGTTTTGACCAACGTGATGCAACATAAAATATACTATTTATTAGATTTTTATGAATGTTTATTGTGGTTTAATGACTTATTTGTATTTTTCTTGGTTCTTACTCTTTTAGACTTAAATATATAATAATGGCAAAAGGAAATAAGCAAAATAATGCAAGAAAACTTAAAAGAAAGGCTCCTCTCAATCATTTTAGAAAACAGCAAAAAAATGATCTATTGGTCAAAACAAACAGTTTAAATACAATAAGCATGTGTTCTAGTGCAAAAAAACTAAATATGGGTATTCAGAATCATTTGAAGTGTCAAGACCTGTATGACTATAATATCCTTATTAACTTCTCTGTTCTCAAAAATCTATTTTTAGAGATAGCTTGTCCAAAATGTCATATGCTAACCATTAATTTATTTGATAATACACAAAAAAGAATGTGATTTTCACATAATCTCGAGTTAAAATGTACATCTTGTGACCAATGGAGTCATACTGTTTATTCATCTAAAGAATGTGTAAAGAATAGCAGTAATACCACTGGAAGAAGTATATTTGAAGCAAATGCAAGAGCGGTGATAGCTTTTCGAGAGATTGGTCGAGGTCATTCAAGTATAAACACATTTACTCAATGTATGAACATGTATGGTTTAGCCAAAAACGCTTTTGATAACCTAAACTCAAATGAAATATATAAAGCATACAATGATGCAGCTTTAAAAAGCATGAAAAAAGCTGCAGAGGATCTTCAAGATTCTTCTGATGGTCCAACACAACAACGTATAAAAATAGATGGAGCGTGGCAGAAAAGAGGCCATTCATCTCTTAATGGATTTGTTACTGGTATTGTTGAAGATAAAGTAGTTGATGTACAAGCTTTTTCTAAACACTGTAAGGGTTGCCTTATGTGGGAGAAACAAAAAGGTTCATCAAGTTATGATAGATGGAAAGCAAAACATGTATGTAATATTAATCATGTTAAGTCGTCTGGTGCTATGGAGGGAGCTGGTGCTGTTAAAATCTTTGAACGTTCTGTGGAAAAGAACAGCCTTATTTACAAAGAATATTTAGGTGATGGAGATTCTTCGTCTTATAAAGAAGTCATAGCAGCAAATCCCTATAAAGATTTTGGTATAACACCTCTCAAATTGGAATGTATTGGGCCTGTTCAGAAGCGCTTAGGTACTCGTCTTAGAAATCTTGTGAAATCACATAAAGGTACAAAGAATCCCATATCAGGAAAGGGGAAGTTGACTGAAAAAACAATTAACTCAATGCAAACCTATTATGGAAAAGCAATAAGAAACAACTTAAACAATGTTTATGCCATGAAAAAAGCAATCGGCTCAGTTTTGTTTCACTGTACTGCGTTTACTGATGAGAACCAGCGACATGAAATGTGTCCACGTGATGACACTTCTTGGTGCAAATGGCAGTTAGATAAGACTAATAAGACAAAAACATTCAAAAACACCATTAGTTTACCAATGTCCATTCATTACCTTTTAAAACCGATCTTTGTAAGTTTATCAGACGACGAGTTATTGAACAAATGCGTTCACGGGCAAACTCAAAACACTAATGAATCGTTCAACTCAGTTGTATGGACTCGATGTCCCAAGAATGTTTTTATTGAACGAAGAACATTTGAATGTTCAATTAACTCAGCTATTTTACATTATAATGATGGGAGTGGCGGGGTTAATGCAGTTTTAGGACATTTTGGCTTACATGGAAAGGCGACTGCTGATAAATCTATTGCACGAGATTGCCAACGTGTTACTAGGATGGAAAAGCGATCAAGTCCAATCGTTAAAAAACAAAGAAAAAAATTAAGAGCATTCAAAAAAGGGTACATGGATAAAGAGAATGAAAGTGAAAAGTGTGAATCTTACACTGCTGGTGGTTTTTAACATCTTTTTCTTATTATTTTAGACAAAAACTTGATTTTCTCATGTTTATGGTTTTACATAATTTTTAAAATTTTAAAACATGATATCTCAAGATTGAATGGATAAAATAAGTTGAAATTTTCAGGAAATGCTCATATATTATATATAATCCATACATCATAGGCTTTTTCTTTATTGAGGTAAAAAACTTCTTAATTTGTAAAATTTATACAAAAAATTCTATGCTTTAAACACTCTTTTTGCTAATAGAGGCATAACTTTTGACTAAGTGAGTCAATAAAAAAATTGATGTGTCAAATGGATTTTACTATCGTTCTTAAGCTATGATGAAAATTTGAAGTAGTAACTATCTTCACATCTGCAGATATTGTGTTTTAAAATATTTCATTTTTTTGTCTCATTTTAGCGATAAAATAGGGTAATCGAGACAAAAAAATGGTTTGGTGTGTTTGAAATATTTTTTAAGTTGAGACCAGCCATTTATACCAAAATTTGGTTAATTAAATTCACAGGGTCAAAAAAAAGTTTATTTCTTGGGCAACCCCCTTAATGATTATTGTTATAGTGGAACGAACTGTTGAATAGCACTTTAAATACGTCATGGCACCACGCACCCTTGTGAGATATTTGTATTTCTGAGTTCAGACTTGAACACATTTGAATGCAATTTTTTGAAGAATTTAGAAGAAATATGTTCGCCCCCAAAAGATTTTATAATGCAAAATTTAAACTTAATGAAAGAAAGTATAATAAGAAGTCTCCGTGAACGATTGTTTTACGAAGTACTGGATAGCTTTACTAGTGAATAATTCAGAGAGATTAACATTACGTTAGACTCAGAAAATCCAATGGATAAAAATCTTCCTAAACGGTACAAAACAACCAAATGTTTAGAAGATATATTTATCTTCTCGATAACTCTATGCGAAAATCAGTTGCACAAAGAGATCTCAAAGACATTAATCTCTTTCAAGAATATAGAAACTGCGCACTTTGACGATAAGTTTTTAGCTTTATCATTAAAAGATTTATTACAAATTTCAAATTCAATCCAGATCGAAAATATAGAAATAAAAGTGGAATTAGGTTTGTTAAAAGAAAAAATAAGTATACAAAATGAGCTTATTCAAGACCTAAAAATCAACTGAGTCAAAACATAAATAATAGTTCAAATCCACACCATAAAAACACGTGCTCAAAATCTATTGCTGAAGTTACACAAAACTTCAATAAGTCTTGCGGTAAATTATCTGAAAATATCCCCAAAGTATCAAATGCAAATACTGAAAAAGTAAAATCCGGCTTTCGAATTATAACACGCTAAGTGAAAATAAAAATTCCGAACTCACCGCAAATGTTGCAAAAGATATTTTATACAGAAATCCAACCGCATAATGTCAACACGTATGCAAAGATTGTGGCTCAAAAACAACAGACCACAGATAAAACTAAACATTCAAATTTTGGATTTAAAGAAAAACTTTCAAATATTGATAATAATCCAAATAGTTTTATTTTAGTTGGCAAAAATAATAAACCTCCCCGCCAAACAAGTATTATACCCTTAGAAAAAAAACATAGATTAATTGAGTATGTATTTGGAACAAAAATTCCGGGAAATGAAACTATTGCTGGTAATCGAATAATTCGCAATTTTGCAGTATTTATAGGTGGTGTAAGCAACCGAATAAATGAAGAACATCTTAAACTGTATATGGAAACTGAATTAGGTATCACGCCTATATCAATTACTCTAAACAGAGAAAATGAGTTTAATAGATCATATAGAATCTCTGTAAATAATTCAGAAAAAGGTAAAATTTTCAACCCTTCGTTATGGGATAATAATATCATTATTAAACCGTTCCGGAAAAGGCGCATATATTCTAATGTGGATCAACATTTTGTATCTAACTTGAACCAGAAAAAATATTACTAACTAAAATGGCTTCAAACAACATATTAAAGGAAGAAAATCTTCCAAAAACGTTTAGTTTGTGTACATTTAATTGTCAGGGACTAAAATCAAATATTAAATATACTGAGACCCTAATAATTTCTCATGACATAACATTTCTGTGTGAACACTGGATATCAAAACTCGAATATTCTATTATCAAAAACATTTGTAAAAACTCCCACTCGTTATATTTCAGCCAGGCAAATAAACACGAACAGAGTCGACCATTTGGTGGAAATGCCTTTTTTATAAGAAAGAATCAATTTCAAAATATCATATCTCTTTACGAAGATGAGAATATATTTGTAATAAAGTTAAAAAAAAATTATATCGACATTATTGTAGTTGGCATTTATCTAACCTTGTCACGAAACAATCAAAAATCATTGGAAAAATACAAAAGTCAATTAGATATACTTAAAGGAATTATAAATAGTCATAAGGGTAATGGCGAAGTAATTATACTAGGAGATTTCCAGTCATTTCCGCACGGAATTTACGATCTATTCGAAAGAACTAGCTCTAAGAGAAATAATTATTCTTTAATTTTATCTGAATTTATTGAATCAAACGAATTAGAATTAGTCGACGTAACTAAAGGCTCTGGTCCTGCAATCACATATCAACATCTTACATTACTAAATACATCGTATATTGATCATATAGCTATTTCAAAGCATACATCTCTTCTTGTATATAAATGTATCGTTAATTCTCCTTTCTTTCAAAATGTAAGTGATCACTTGCCGCTATCAATTTCAATAGGAATTAAAGGTCATTATTCACAAAAAAGGTCATTATTTACAAGAAAATATAAACAAAATAACAGAGGATTATAGCACTCCAACTTATCTCTGGAGTAATCTAGACTTTATAAACTTATATAAGGATCACTTAAATACAAGTTTCAATAATCTTATCCTTATTGGTAATTTTGAAAATGAACTTGCCCAAATCTATACTACTATTACTAATAGTGGAGCATGGACTCTTAGAGAAATAGTTTGATAAGTTAACATTAGGAATTAATTAGTTCATTTCTTCCAGCTGGGGCCGTATTTCTTCGCACGTTATTCTTAAGATAAAAAAAAATCTCTTCACACGGATTCAAGAATGAATATGGTGGCAAATATTTTATTTGAATGTTCGGAGCCCTCATCTCAACATTATGATGGATTCTGACATTATCCATCACCAGGGTGAATTCTTCCATACTTCTGATAATAGAACATTGTTTGATCTAAAAGTTCATAATCAGTTCGTTCTTTATCAGTTCGTGTAACATAACCAGCAATGTGAATAAGTGACATTTTGACATCATCAGCAACAGAAGATTCTAGATCTTGCAAGTTATCAAGAATTTCGGAGCAGTCTTCAGACAATTTGTAATCATAATGTAAACATAACACACATTGATGACCAGACTTCACATTAAAATTGTCAATATCTACATTTAACTTCAAAAGTAAAAATGCATGTTTGATACGTAATTTTTCAATAACTTGTTGAACACTAAGAAAATATGTACCACCAAAACCTTGACGAAGTATACTATATTCTTTTTCCAGGTGATGGAAAAAGAATATAGTAACTATGTACTTTTGGTCAATTTACTTCAGGTAAATTGACCAAGAAGTACATAGTTTTGCGTAGTGTTATGTAAATATCTACATAAATCTACTAGTCGATAACAAGTTTGATGTATACAAGTTGTAATATCTTTAGAAAATTGTTTAATACGCTTACCTTTGAGACCCGCCATTTTAAGTGCCATATCACCAAATTGTAGTATTAAATTTAGACGGTTGTCATCAGGATTGTTGATAACAGCCTGCAAAGGATCATTATGCCTTGTATCAGCACCAATGGCTTTGACATTTAAAATTTTCCACCAAATAATAACTTTATTGATAAATATAGCAGTGTTTCGCTAACATCAATATGAATCATGTCTTGCAAAAGAGCAGCATAATTTTTTTTAAAAAAAAAATCTTAAAACTGTTAATACACACTGTCGTTCAACAGGTTTAGGAGAAATAGAAGTTTCATTCAGGTCAGATAACTTTAGAAAGCTTCTGGATTCTGCATTGTAAAGCTGCTTTAAATGAGTCCATTTCGCAACCCTGGTTACTCCGTTACCGTCAAATATTAACTCCTGAGTTTTTTCAATTAACCAAAGATTACGAATACTTTTTATGAGGTGTACAAAATCATAAAGTAAATACTTTCCATCAACTGTTAACCATGGTTTTCCCGGAACGAATGTGTACATTTAAAAAAAAGCCTGATTGACACAATTCCCATCACATATAACAGCTTTTACATGTACACTGACTGAATCAATTATTTGACTAGTTAAATAAATCTGTTCAAACAAAAAATCAGATCGTAATTTTGATATTGGTATCATTTTAATTAACACCTTTGGACCCATTTAAACAAACAGCCATAATCCCTAACAATGTTTTGGACAATTCCACTGGGTTATCCTCTGATCTACCAAAAATAGTTGCACCATGGTAATGGTAAACTTTTTTTAACATATATTTCATCATGTAGTAAGATACATAATTTCTGCTTATCGTGAAGAGAGTTAAAAATTAAATAAATAAATTTGTTTTCATTAATATTAGAAATTTTTGAAGTAATTCAAGTCAGTCTTAAAATAGATGAAAGTTGATAATCATTTCTTAAGCAATTATATAATGCCCTTGATGTTAAAAAATATACAAAAGAGCGCATAGATATTTCAGGTGTATAAAGTTTCAACTAATCTCCAACTAATTTTGATTCCATAACTGAAACATGTTGCATAATTACTTCTTTTTTATTATCAATTTTCAAAGAGCTTAAAATCGAAGTATCTCATCAAACTTAGACCAAGAGTCAACAGTTATGATTTGATTTACTGTTAAGCTAGAAATGTGACACTTAATCCCATAATGAAGTTTCAAAGGTAAGATTTTCATAAAATTTAAGTACAAAAAAAGGTATTCCATTAAAAAGGTATTCCATTAAAAAGGTATTCCATTAAAAAAGGTATTCCATTAAAAAATTGCAAAGATTGTACAACAACATCAACCATAAACGATATAACTGGATATTGGTGATCACTGCTATCAATAAACTTGTTTTTAATGTCACAAAAAGTAGCTTTATCCCTTTTAAGAAATGTATCTAGCTCATCATCTAATGTACTTCTAATTCTAGTTGGATAAGCAGTTAGAATTTGAGATAAAGGTATTCCTAGCCAAACAGAAGGAGGATTTTTTGGTCGACGTTTTTCTCCCACGCACTATAACAGTATCAAAATCTGGAGGTCAGTGTAACTCACAGATAACAGTATACTTGGTAACAACCAAATTATAGTTTGGAATAGCTTTTATCCATTTTTCACGCTTAACGTTATCACTTGGGAACCGATACACTGATATTTTATTAACTTCACTAAATATTTTAACAACATGTTCATTAAGCTTATATTATCATCAAAATAGGGGTTTTTGGGGTCAAGGAAATCAAATTAGTAACTTAAAATTATTTTCACATGCACTTATTACCCGTATAACGCACATGTACGCGCGTTAGAGGACTTTGCATTTGTAAATAACATTTTTAGTAGTTTCTTTAACCAAGTTATACCATTATTATAATATTACAGAAACGCTCGCGCACGCGTTTAACACTCGCGCACGCGTTTAACGCGCGCAATTTTACTAAAAGCACGTAGACGCGTATCAAAGCGTGTTATGAGTCTTTAACGCAATCTATAATACAAAAATAAACAAGTCAGAGTATCAAAATTTTTTTACAATTTAAATTACTAATAAGTTCACTACTTCTGGAGGCAAAGTTCTGCCTTGATAACTCCTGTGTTTTACACATGAAATGCTTGAGATCCGATCTAATCAAAAGGTAGTGCATCTGATCTTTCATCGTGTTAATTCTTGATATTTTTGTTGTATGATGCAACCTTACATTTCGGATTTGCTTGTTTAGACTCTCCTGAGCTTCCTCAGAGTATTGGGCAATAGGCAAATCAAATTGCTTTGAAATGGAGCAACCATGTATCAGAATTTTGTAAACACTGGGTGGCATTATATGCCAACCATATTTATGAACTATAATTTTAGCTGTATCAGCACAATAAACTTCAAATTGATAACTATCAATAGGGTACCCATAAGATAATGTAATAAGGACAATGTGCATTCTCTTTATAACTTCCATATCAACCCCTGTTATTTTAGAAAAAATCGCAGAGTTTTCAAATGCTCTTCTTGAAGTATTTCCATCATTGCTATTACCAAAGCCTACTTTGGGCTGGTCAACAATGTGACTCAACTTTTCTTTGAACTTTGATTTAATAAAATTCTTCTTTAAATTTACAGTAAGCTTCTCTTCTTCAGTTCTGGCTTAAAACTTCTGGATTTCTATTTCATAACCTAAATGTAAGATGAATTCAAAAGATCTCATCTAACAGTGCAAATTTGAAATACCTAGTTTAAGGGCTTTCTCATTAACAGGCTTTTTTTTAACTAAACCTATATCATTCATCTCTTTGGGCTTACAACAACACACATTACAAGACTGAGTTGACTTAGTGTCAGTTAATGAATTTATTACTTTTCCATCAAACATGGTCATATCAATTTTAATTATTGATATGACCATGTTTGATATATATTGATATATATTGAGAAGGGTTTTAACTGATTCATTTGAGTTTGAAGATCATTTTCTTCTTTTTTGCACAACTCTGGTGTCTCTTTTTTATATTGCAGGTGATGAGGTCTACAAAAATGGCAGCTGGAACTTTTAGAATTTTTCCAACTTTAAACAGAAGAGGTACAATTGCTGTGCTAAACAGGCTTTCTTCATGCTTTGATTCTTCAGTAAAATTAAGGCTATCAAATTTTTGTTTGTAAATACTTTGACTTGAAGCTCCATCAAACCCAATTTTTACATATATAACTTCATTCATCTCTACTTTACAACTTTCCTTCAAATCAATCATATCTATAATCCTAGTAACTGTATGATTCAGCATATTTTGTAATAAGAATTTTGCTGACATTTCAGTAAACTGAATACCTTCTGGATAATATTTCAACTTTTCTTCCCCAAGCTTATTAAGACTCGGATATATTTTTACATTGTGAGAAAGGGATGAATTTCTCAACATTTGGTATTGTAAATCACTTAAGTCAGTTTGCATTTTCAGAGCGAGAGCCTCCTCTAGTTTCATAGTTGTTTGAGTCAAGGAATCAATACTTCTTCTCATCTGAACTACATCAACACATTTAGAAGTTCTTTTTAAAATATAAGCTGAATCGTTTTTATCTGCTGCTTTAGCACTCTTTGATGCAGCAAGAGATAGAGCAATATGATGTTCATTAGCTAAATCTGCAATCTTTGCTCTTTTACTTCTTTCACAAAGACCTCCCCATTTCTTAACTGGTCTTCCTGGTCTAGGATGAATAGACACACTTTAATCAATGAGATTTTTTCCTAGCCAATTATTTTCGTACTTTGAAAACTTTTCATAGTTTCAACAATATTTTTATGCTTATTTTTCACTTTCGAAATTAAAAATCTGTACAATTCTTTTTAGTTCACCAAGTTTATCTTTAGGAACTATTTCAAATTTTTTGATAAATTCAATAAGTATTTCAGGAAGTGCTTCGTTATTTGCTTCAAATTCGCGAATTTTTAAAAATAGATCCAACCTTTTCATTTTACTTTTAAAGCTTAATTTTTTCTTTACCAAATTATATTATGATAAGACTTTTTTAATTTTCAAAATAAAGGGTAAATACTAGATTGTATATTATTACACAAACGTCCGAAAACTGTTTTTAAATTGAAAAGGGAGAGCCGGGTGTTGCTTTTGACAAAACTATGCATGAATCAATTTAAAATATCTCCTTACGGAGCAGGAAGTTGTAACATACTGTATGGTATACTTGGCTATAGTTTGGTGGGTTTTT